ATTAGCACTTGACTTTTCCCAGCGTAAATAAGAACATGCTCCAAATGCATCTCGAGACGCGTCCGCAAAAATACAAAGTGTCGGTAGTCCAATAGTGTTCAGTGGTGTTAAACTTCTTGGGAACGAAACATTATTCAAGTCCTCGATTTCTGCAAAAAACTCAGTCCACCACTTTGAAACTTCAGATGAAAGTTCTCCGTCCCAATCTAATCCTTGCTGCCAGAGTCGTTGTAAACCGATTTTTGCACGGATCAGGAACGCCGCTGCGAATCCAATTGGATAAAATACACGAGCCACTTTACTAAGGATCTTTCTCTTCGTTAATTTCAACTCGCTTGAATTTTCTTGTGACGGCACAGATAGCTCATTAGCTTTCATTTAAACGTAAAAGCGTCCTTACTATTGTTCCAGACAACACCTAGAACCTTTTCTTCGGATTCACTTTCCAAAAACTTAACACTTGATCTTTCTTCAGACGGTAGATTTTCCTCTAGAATTTCGTTCGATAACCACTCTTTCACTTTAAAGCCTCCTTTATCTAAGATTTCGTCCAGATCTTTCGTCAGTTGCTGGGCACATTCGACAGTGGGTACGGAATCACAAATATCATCCATGTACGTATTCTTTTTCAACACTTCGGCTGCATATGGATGAGCGTTTTCTGCTTGGTCTGCCGTCTTTCTCAATGCAATTTGTGCCATTGCCGGTGCTAGTTTGTCACCAAAGGTTAACACAGTTTTTACGTAAGTGTCTGGTGGTCTAGTTGTATCCATATCTCGCCACAAAAACCGATGTACATGCTGGTCTTCTTCAGGTATTCCAATTCTGTGATACATCTTTGATATATCTCCGCTTACAGCGACCGGTTTCTCTCTGAATCTGAGGATAACTCCCAACATGCTGTTCAAAAGGTCAGGACCTTTTATCCAACAATCGTTAAGACAGTGTCCCTTGTATCTCGCTGAAGAATTAAATACGATTCTTACTGGCGTGCTCTTCTTATCAGGTCGAACAACTTCATGGTGAGCTATATAGTGAACGGGAACTTTGTAATCCTTTATTTCTTTTTCTGTTAGCTTTCGTGAAAACCCGAGATCTTCCATCTGCTCCATTTGTTCTTGATATGCTTTTGCATGCTGTAGATTCCCTTTCAATCGTTTTTCAGTTGCTTCCATCTTCTTCACAGCTTGTTCTCGGTTGTCGGGGAGGGTTTTGGGGTCAGTTTTCCAAGGGTACGCCATTTCCCATCTACTTCCAATTAGCTTGCATCCTTGCTCGATTAGTTTGGTTTCTTCTTGCTCGATCTTGCTCAACTTTGGCATTTCAATATTTGATTGACAAACTCCCATTGCTTCGCTCGTCCAAAAGTCAGTGAGATCTACAGGTCTTGTATACTGAACATGAAATATTCTACTGGTTTGCTGCAAGCCTGATATCGCTCCAAAAATAATCCAACCAAGAGGTGAATGTCTCGCAACAACGTTACCAACTTTCTTTGAATCTCCAGTATGCATATAAGCGTGATCAATCCCAATAAGCATATCGATTCGGTACACATTCTCGGTAAATTTTCACTTCAGGGATTCCAATTCCTTTTGCCATTTCACCAATATTGATATTTGAAATGTCATCGCTAATATGTGGCATTCCAACAGCTTTGACTGTGAACTTCGCACCAGACTCCAATGACGTAATGGGAACTTGATATACATTTGTCGCCAACACTTCTTCTTCACCGCCCACTTTTCTAATAGTCATCGAAACATCCTTTCCCTTTAAATCCAAATTCTTTGCTGTACTTGTGCAAATCAGACTTATTTGTGCTCCAGAGTCGAGTAGAATGTTCCCTTGTTTGTGTCGATTGTTACGTTCTTTCCAGATATCTTCACTGTAATAACTGGCAGCATTGCTTCCGTGTTGTTTCTACCGATGCTACACCCACTGATGCTGCAGGATTTGAAGGATGCAAAAGAATATGATGATAATATTTGCATTGAACGCCACTTATTTTCTGAGTACACTGCTTCCTTCTGCTACAGTTTGATGCTCTGTGATCACGTCCGGCCTTCTTAAGACAACTGAAACAAGCGTGGTTTTCTCTTACGGTTTTCAAACGGTCCTCTGGACTCATGGACTTAAATTTCTCACATTGGTCTACCCAATGCGTTGAATTGTCGCAGATCCAACACTTTGGTGGTTTTCCTCCAGATAGCTGATTGACATATCTCGAACCCTGACTCGGATTTCTCAGTGGAGCAGTTGCACGCATCCTCGACTTCATTTCCGTCTCCATCCAAGCAATGAGACCTTGTAAGCTTGCTGGCTTTTCATTCCTTTCCAACTCACGAGCCCAAATCTTTCTATCTTCCACACACATTTTCTGTTCTATTAGTGATAACATGTGATTGTTATCCATATCATGGGGTTTTCCCACTCCCTTCATCGTATTGAAACTACGCTTTACTAAATGCACCAGATCGCAAAATCGTGAGTCTTCTCCTTCTTTCAGGGGTTGGAACTTTGACAGATCTTGGGTTACTTCGTTCGACACATATCTGGGGTCTCCATAGATTGAGTCTAAATATTGCCATGCACCATCATAATCTGTACCAATTCCTTTGATAAGCTCTAGGGGTTTTCCCTGCAAGCATGCACGAAGGTACGTCATTGCATCCCCTTTACTGCATCTAGATTCAATAGCATGCTTAAAATCATCTCGAAAAATACTGTACTCTCTGACGTCACCACTAAATCGAGGCATTTTTGGCTTCTCCATTTTGAAACCACAAACAGGTTGAACATTTGAAATACTTTGGGCACCCTCACTTGAATTATTGTGTTCTTGACCTTGGTGGGATGGGGGTTGACCTTGGTGGGTTGGTGGTTGACCTTGGTGGGATGGGGGTTGAAACCTTGGTGGGATGGGGGTTGACCTTGGTAGGATGGTGGTTGACCTTGGAGGGATGGGGGTTGACCTTGGTGGGTTGGGGGTTGACCTTGGTGGGATGGGGGTTGACCTTCGTGGGATGGGGTTTCACTTTGGTGGGAAGGGAGTTGACCTTGGTGGGATGGGCCTTGACCAGACCCAGGGATGCCGTCATGCTCTTGTTGCCCATTGTCACTAACAGTTGTCTCGGTTTGATTGGGCACTAAACCTGTTTCTGGGTTTGCTTAATTTTCAAACTGATCTTGTGACTTGACCTTTAAATAATCCTTTGTTCTGATCCTTATCTGCGTAAACCTCTGTTGACAATCTTCAATCCATTCTTCCTCAGTTGCAAATTCTTCATCGCCATCCACCAACTGAATATATTCGTCGTGTTTTTCAACCAATTTCTTGTATAAATCTTCCAAATTAGCGAGTGGTTCCTCAACTTCCGGTATAGGTCTCTCATTTTTCAATAAATAATCCAAGCCATTTCCTGCCTTTGCAACACTCGATTTTGCACATCTCCGCTTCTTTTTCGCTTCGTTTAACGCTTCCTTCGTTACCTCCGTCATTTTCCGAATATCCTTTAAGCCCTAGTCAGCTAGAAATCGAATTTATGGCTCGTCAGAATCAGAAACCGGTATGTAAAGTGACCACAAATAATTTCCAAATATAAATCTATTTGTGAACGTTAAACCTCGAGTAAACAGCTTAAAACCAACGTGTTTATTTCCCGCTATTTTCTGTCACGTGACTTTGTCTGTTAAATGACGTAGTTATTTATCTATTTTTAAATTAGCAAAACAATATATATATATATATATATATATATATATATATATATATATATATATATATATATATATATATATATATATATATATATATATATATATGGTACAACACGAAGGCATCAACGCATCTAGACATGTGTATAGTGTAATGGAGTCAGAGTGCTTAGGCTAGGATGGTTGGAGATTTTTTCCCTAGCCCAATTGAAAGCTTTAACCTACATCTCGTATAGCATCGTTTACACCATATCGTTTTAGGAGTTCACCAGAAATAATCATTGATGGTGAATACAGTAAGGCCAGTGACGTGTGGGCTTTTGGAGTGTTGATCTGGGAAATGTTCACTCTTCTTGACAAAGAACTTAATGAAAGTGATGATGAAATGTCTCATTTTCCCTACCATCAGTATATGTCCAAAGAAAAGGTACATTCATTATTATTTTAATCAATTACTTCTTTACTGCATGCAGTCTATTTAAAGGATATACTGCAATATGGATTATTTCTTTGGATCTGTGTGGATGATAAGCCCATATAAACACACATCACTTTAGTAATTGTAGAAGAGTAATCCATACTTCTATATTGTAAAAATGAGAACATCATACGATTAAGAATAGGGATGACAGGATTAAGAATAGGCACTGTCTTTCTATAAAATTGCACTGCTCTTAGCCAATCAGATCATAGTAATGTTTCCATGTATATTACCTTATGCATAATGACGTCACAAGGCTTGATGCCCGGGAGGATTGTTGGTCTTAGTAGTCATCGCCCGGGAAAAATAAACAATTCAAAATGGCCACTATCGAAATTTTCCAGGGCGATGCCAAATAAGACCAGCATTCCTCGCGGGTATCAAGCCTTGTGACGTCATTATGCATTTACTTTAAATTTACTTATAAATTTACTTTTGTAGTGGTGATAGCCATATTATGTTATTATACAGACTGTGTGCCTCTTGTATTTCAGATATTGTCATATTTGCAACAAGGAAAACGACTTGGCCAACCAAAAAGTTGCTCAGATTGGCTTTACGAAATAATGCTTCAGTGTTGGGCATTTAATATTCAAGATCGACTCAAATGTCAAGATATAGAAGATCGTATTAAGGAGAAAATATGTCTCTAAATTACAAAACCCATGTTTTTGACATTACAACTATACACGTAAAAATCAACAAAATGTGTTCGGAAGAGGCTTCTTATTTACAGGTTGTAGCAATATTCTGATTCCACGAAGTCGCTATATATTTTTTATATCTTTAACATAATATCTTCCAAATCTCGCAGACTCATTTCTATACTGAGTACCTATAAACATTTTTCTTGTTATAAATATCTATCTTTTATCTCTAACATATTATACGCAGTATATATGTACACGGCTTGACTTGTCAATAATACATATTATACTTCTCTCCCAGCTTTTTCTCGCAAAACGTTTTAAGACATTCATGTTTCGCTCGCTACTCTGGTTTAAATAAATGATTACAAAGCCCAGTCGAATTGTAATCAAGACCCAACATTTCGACACTCCAGTCTAGTGTCTTCATCACGGGTGATCTAAAATTGCAATCGTGGCTTCTTAAATACCCAAGAGATGACGTCACCTGCCAAAGAGATGCATATATTCCTCTGGCAAATGCCAAATAGGCACCGTCGTCCCTATTCAAAGCATGATTACTCATATTTATATGCCACGCTTCTAGGCAAAGTCTTTGACCATAACGATTGTTTGTGGTAATTACTTTAGAGTTTTCCCACGCAATTAATTAACTTACGATGATCACAGCAAACCGTCCACTGACAAAGTTTTCCTGCTTTGTTATATCACATTATACTAGAAATACATGCATGCAGAAACCCTCGTCTTGCTGACAAAACCATTGTATTTTCCCCAACATGAAGTATCTAAAGTAGTTGTCATGGTAACACGATAATTTTTTAAGAATATTCTACAAATGAAAAATCGCCTAAAAAATATCACTTTTAATTACAAAATTATTAATTTCCCAATATATATATATATGTTAGGTATATTATTATACGTAATATAAGCCTCAATTTAAGGTAAAATTGAACCGCAAACGCTTCGCAAAACGTTTTAAAGTGTTCTTTATAAAACTAAACTGCCTTTTAAAATGGCTTTATCGATAAACTTTGAGTTTGCAATAAAATGATTTCAAATTCTCGCTTGCAAATAACTTTGCTTTCTTTTTTATTTAAAAAATTCAACATCATAAAAAAGGGAATCAATATTGAAGATACACTGAAATTATATGCTGTCTTGTTTAGTTGTTTCATATACGCAAAGGCCCTCGGGTTTTAAAGCCATTATAAAATCAATATTTAAAACAAACTTACTTTCGGTACCGTCGGCTCCCTTCTTTTAGCCTATTCTTTGGCCCTTTCTTTCTTGAAATTTACAAAATCTTGCAAAAATGCGAGCAAGAATGAAATATATTTGCAAGAAATTTATCAATCATCAAATCAAGAAATGTTTGCTATTTCGCTGTCGTCATGCAGTCGTTATAATGCAAACTTTAAATTGGACCAATCAGTGTTGAATTGAATTGAATTGAATTTATTAATTTGTCACAATTGGTTGATACAACAATTAGAAAAGTAATAATTTACAAAAGTAATAAGAAGAAATGAAAAATTGTGACGAGGTAGTCCAACTAGAAGCCGAGGCTTATTAATTGCTAGACTACCTCATGTCAAATATTAAAGAATAAGTTATCTAAATATATATGAGGTAGAATAGTGAGCAGACATATAATAAGGAAACTAATATAATACAAGAATACACACATAATATCAAAACGAAGATACTTAGATCTACACACCTAGATATAAATTAGATACTATTAGTTACTAAAAATCATCGGACAAATTATCGAAAATTAAATGCTTTTTAAGATTCGATTGGAATGAATACACAGACATGGCGTTCCGTAAATTCTGGTCCAAGGAGTTAAAAAATACTGGACCTTGATAGTAGACAGAAAATTGTCGTAATTTTGTTCTACAAAATGGTATACTAATTAGGTTCGAACTTCTGGTATTGTAGCTATGTACCTCGCTATTTACCAAAAACAAATTCTTAAATCTAGGAGGAAGAGAATTTCTAGAAGCAAGATACATAAATTTTCCCAAGCAGAATAGATAAATATCATTCAGTTTGAGAATCACACTCTCTTTAAATAGAGGAGAAGTATGAGCATCATATTCCTTCTTATTAATTATTCTGATTACACGTTTTTGAAGCAATACGATGCGTTCCAGGTTAGACTGATAAGTTGAACCCCATACCAAAATACAATAATGCAAGTACGGATAGATTAATGAAAAATACAAAGTTCTTAAACAAGATTTAGAGAGGAAAAAACTGGATTTGTAAATTATTCCAATTGATTTAGAAATTTTACGTGAGATATGTGAAATATGAGGTTTCCAAGATAAAAATTTTCATCGAGAACAACTCCGAGGAAAACAACCTCATTAACCCGTTTGATTTTAGTGTTATTAATTTCTATACTAAACTCAGGTATATATCTCTTTTGCCTAGTTTTGAAAATCATAAAACTAGATTTTTGAATATTAATTGAAAGTTTATTGGCTTTAAACCACTCGGACAGCTTGAGCA